GATGTCTTGCATCGATGTCTGATATGTACTCACTATGAGTTGAGAATTTGTGAAGATAGGCTCAGCGCATCCTTTGGTCATATCAAGGTATAGTGATAATCCTCCGTGCACATGAGACAACCTTCCAGTTAGGATATTAGAGAGGATAAAATCTTCAAGTAACTCTTCACGAAGCCATGAGACTGTGTGATGTGATTATCACCTTTATCTTTCGTATGGTATGAGTTCGGCCTCATTGTTGTAATAGTTTCTGCGTATGCATCCTAAGAGAGCATCGTCAATGTGTGAGACTGCGATGCAACTTGCTCGGAAGTGTTAAGCCGCCAGAGTCCCCAAGTCCTAGGTCAACAATACTTTTGGGTCTAGGTAGGTCAGTAGTTTGAAGCGCCAATTTAATGCAGATCGAGTTTGCAGCGAAACAGATTCAACCACATCTACTCAAGCTGAGTTGTAACTTACATAAGGGGACCATACAGTCACTTTATCTACTTCTCTCTGGACTGCATTCTGGAAATATTCCAGATCGTAGTGGAATTTATAAGCTGCTTTAAGATCGTACACAGACATGTGTAGTTTTTCCATGTAAGAAACAAAAGCTTGTGTCGCTGAGAGATATCATAAAGAGAGAGGTGGCTATGGTGCTAACTTGAACCACCCCAGAAGTGGTTGGTCTTAGTTTAGAAGTCACAAACTATTTGGCAGACAATGCTGCGTGTTTCGTTGGAATGATCCAACTTGTTGGTGTTATGTCGAGGCTGTAATCAACTGTGGTTACATGAATCCAACACACTTATCCATTTTTGAATGTTGCAACAATCTGTGCGTTCATATGACTATAGTTTGCCACGATTTAGAGAACTAGCTCATGTTAGGGAAAATAAGGTGATAAGATTCTAATTAAGTTATCTATTGCACCATGAAATAATATAGAAATGTTGATCGATGATAGATAATGAATGCTAGACTAAAGCTTACAACAGTTGCGTGGTAAATACTGACAGAGAAATCAAAATGAATCGAATCTCACCTGGGCCGCTTCCTGTTCAGGGTGTTTCAGAATAATTATTATTGTTGTGTAGTTGGTAGCAGAAAGCATGTTGGCGTGGCGAAGCAAGCACTGGATAATAATAATAATAATAATAATAGTTTATTCACATAAATTAAACACTCACATGATCAACATGTCGTCTTTACAGGCATGATTGTATCTGACACAATATCACAATAAATTCAGTCGTCAAGGTTTACACTTGTTCCGGCTTGTGGAGCACATTATTGGTATGAGGAATGTAACGAAAATGAGCTGGGTTTACTGAATTTCTCACATGCAGTATCATTAATTGTGACGTCAAATCATACCACATGAATACAGTGAACAGTAATTTGTTAGTGATGTGAGGAACCAAAAATATTAAAAAGAAAGACATTGAATAAAGTTTTCATAAATCTGTCCCACCGAACTATGGAATAACAGGTTGTGTCGGAATTATATGTATAGGAATGGCGAATATTTGTCTATTTTCCAAGCAATGTGCATAAAGATTACGTTGTACAATGTGACTGGCAGCACAAATCGACTGACGTGAAGAAGAAACATAGTGCCAGGAGACTAAACATACTTGTACCAAAAATAAGGTGTGGAATCAAGCTATAATATTCTGATTTAATATTAGTGATATTATTTCTTATCACAACATATATATATATATATATATATGTGACTCCTCATTCATTTCCCATATTAATTATTCCATGATTTCATGACTATTCCACCACAGTCTCATTATCTTCTCCTCTTTAGTGCATACTATCCTTCGTACTAGACACTCACCAGATACATTTCACAACCTTCAACTAACTGAATTGTCTATTTTCGTTCCCCACCTTATATGAATAATCTATTATGACTAATCATCATCATCATTATCGTCGTCAAAGTCTAGTGCTCAAAAGCTGGGGAGTCAGTCATGCACCACCCTGAGAGTATTGAAACAATTACGAAGTCAACTTGTTGACGATTTAGCCACTGGGTTACAAGACACAACGTTATTAAACATTCAAACTCACCACATTAGATGATGTCAGTTTGATTTCTCCACTGAATGACTGGATGACAATGCAGGAAATTCACTGGACTTATTCGGTAGGCATGAAGGATTGCTACTGCTACTACTACCAGTAGTAGTAGTAGTAGTAGCAGTAGTAGTGGTTTTCGGAGCATCGGTATCTCTTTCAATCCCAACATATTTCAACTGTTCCATGGGACCATAACGATAGTCGAAGAATAGTTCTTCTCCAGGCAGAATAGTACGTTTCGCGAATATACCGATTCGATGATCACCGTTCACCATGACCACCTGTGGGAAAAAAACACAATTTATGATATAACATGGAAATCACTGGGCACTCACTCTCGTGGCAGAGTCATCATTGAATGAATTTATCTGATAAAAGTACACACTGATACAGTATTCTTCACTTACTGATGATATGATATTTTGAGCAGAATTCATCACTCCTCATAATCATATCAAGGCACTCATATAACATTCAAACTTTCTTCATACAATTCTTTCTTTCTTATACTTGGATTCTATCACCAGTTCCTTCACACATATACAAACTCAATAGCAGAGAGAATCAAATTCTACTTTCAAGTCAGGAAATGCACAAGGAAAACTATATATGAGCAGTAATAAATTGTGGTTCAAATGTGAATAACACTGTATCATTGTGTGCTTTTATCAAATAAATTCACTCTACGATAGAATAATTTCTAGGGAGAAAGACTACTTGAAAGAAAGAGTAAAATAAACAATCTCAACACAGAGGCGCATGAAACACTTTCAGTGAATGCACATTATATATATATATATATTTATATATATTTATATATATATACCCTCCTGTACCCAAAACAATTAACTTAATCTCAAAGTTACTGTATTCCACGGGCTGAAACCGGTTTAACACCATTGGTTATTAAGAGTGCAGCAGTTTAAACCAAATTCTATTGGCAAGTATATGATGCCCGACTTAGTACAACAAATCACACTACTTTCCCGGTAGTATATCTAAACATTCACGATGTAATTCTTGTCTAATAATGCTGTAGTCGTTGCTGTTGTTCTCGTCTTCTGTGTTTCTTTGTGGGCTCAGAACAGCAGGTAATCTCGGGAGGACAGTCGTATTTGCTGCTATTCAATTGAGTTGGCTATTGAACTCAACATCGTTTTCTGAGACCGAATATTATTGTCAAAAGTAATGACAAATTCGGTGACGTGTCGCCCCACAAAATTGACCTTTTTCAGGCCACCATTGTTTGAAACAGCTGATTTCAGTGACACTTCATTCTTCCCCAACGGTGAAATTTGCTGTTGGGTAAACAAGCAAAACTTTTGAATCAATTAGTACGGATAATGACTGGAATATTATGGATAAGTAGATCTTGAAGGACACTTCTGTCAAAACATCAACAATTCACTGTACAGGCGTTCTAAAACACAACATTTATTACTGGGATACATTCAACTTCTACAATGGCTAACATTCACATTCAGTGAAATAACTTTTGCAGGATACAATCTCCAGTCATTCGAAGATATCTGAATTTTCATTTGAATACTCTCGGGTATCAACAAATAACACTGACTGACACAAAAATATGGAAATACATCGCCTGGAAACCTAATGACCACTGTTCAGTGAAATGTGACACAACATTGGTGAATTTAATGGTGGACAGTAAATTTCATAAATACGGCAAAGATCCTATCGACAGTAAGGGAAATGTATCACAACGGAGATGTGCACAGATTGTACACGAAGTTTTCTTTATACACACACACGCACACAAAGGCATTCACTGTCGACCATATCCTTTCATTTTATTACCAACGTTTATAATGAGGTATGAAAGTAGAAACTGAATTACACCAGGAAACAGCTCACCACTCATGGTTGGAACCACCATACACAGATAGTGAAAACACCATGGATGCGAAAACACACCAAAACCCATGTTAGTCATTCTGTGTGTGTGTGTGTGTGCAACTGACGTCCCCATCAAATTCTCAGATTCTCCTTTTCCCCGCTCTATTCTTCAAGTGAATAAGATACATAGTCAAACAACGACTCAAAGAAACATCACACAACAACAGACGCACCTAATATACACTCACTATCCGCCATTCAGGTGAGACGGAGGATTTCGATAAATCATCCGACATTAACCCAAGACAAAAACGTTTGCAAAACAATACACTATAAAACTGCATAAAAGGAACGGAAAGGAAAGAGAGGAAAGCTAAAACATAAGACTGAAAGAGTATCCCACACACACTTACCTTTCCATAACAATTTGGATTAACTGAATGATTGGCGAATCGGATCTTGTTACCCTTTCGAGTTGCATCGACGACAAAATCACGATTAAGATTGAACAGCAAACTGCTCATTGTTTTATCATAAATCTTCCCTGTTAAGAGACGAAGAAGATTAGCACAGAATTAAAAGTGCAAAGCATCGATCGGTACGACGATTATGCACTGCTGAATTACTGCAATGTTATTTTCTTACTTTTCCACATTGACCTTGTCAACGAAGAAAAAGCTGTGTACGGCGAAAGTAACTATGGATATCAACAGCGTCTTACTGCTGCTGTTACTATTACTACTTATAATAATGCTGTTCCTGACCACTTCAAAGAAAACAAATAACGTGGATCGCTGTGGCGTCGTTACATCGCAAATCCATACATCACAAATGTTATTATCATTGTTATATCAGTACTAACTGCGTAACACTAGGGGTACCATCACTTCATGAAGCCTTCTTTAAATGGAAGACATGTCATAAGCCAGCTATCTTTGTCCTCACATCTTTGCATTCTACCATGGTGAGTAGTACTACTGACGCCAGGTACGCGTGTCAGCTGAGGATGGAAAATCAATCGATGACCTTATGGAGCTGCAGGGATTCACATGGCTAGGATACATGCCGGTATGCTGAATCAATGTCTTCCTTGTCGTGCAATGCTAGCTAACATACAATTAGATTAGAAAAGAGTTAGGAGTGGTCGAATTAAAGTTAACGACGTCTCTAATTCTTGCTTTTTGCCAGAAACAACTCACTATCGAATTCTTTTTATGTTCCAACACTTAGAACGATTTCGCCGAGCTATATTCAACTAAGTGGAGCTTGAACAACACCACAACTGACGAATACTTCAAAATCATTCACTACTCCCACTGACTCGATACTCAACATAAGATGAACGATCAGAAAGGAAAGGTAACGGACCAACCAACAACCTACTGGACAACAAATATGCAGAAGAAAACGGGGATGGACTGGACACACACACTCAGAAGACCGTCCAATGGGCGCCAATCACACCATCGCTCAAGTCAGACCCAAATGGGAAAAGACGGCTCGGCGTTCGACGGTGCGTCGAGAGATCATGCAAGGCGGAAGGAATGAAAGCCTAAGATCAATTGTGGAGTCAGCTAAAGAAAGACTGAAGAGGACGACATGAGCTGGAGATCTGTTGTTGCTGAAACTCTATGTTCCATCCGGAAGACAAGAGAATAATAATAATAACATAATAACCTGCTTTTATTTCAAATTATCACTTTTATTTACTGATTTATTTATTTATCCACTTATTCATTGATTTATTGGTGATGAGTAATAACAATGAGAATAACACACAGAGAAATCTTGAGAACTTACCACGTCGATCAGCTTCGTCTTGACTAATGATCTCACCACAATATTCATAGATAAACTCGTTCTTATCTGCACCGTCTTTGATAAATATGCCCCATCTATCAAAAACATGTATGTGTAACAAACACAATAAACAAGAACACTGAGTATGACTCTGCATAAACCACTGATAAGAGTAGTGCTTGCTTGCCAGCTAGCTACCTAGGTAGTCAGTTAGATCAAGGTGACCAATCTAATCACACACCAGAAAGACGTTTGTCCCTCTCATCAGCCGGCCGGTCCGACCACATCAACAGTGTACCTGGTACTGACCTAGCTCGGAGACAGACACAAAGGAGTCTCCTCAAACCACCGAAATTCTGGCTGACTGGCTAGCTAGCTACTTGGGAGAACTTGTAATACATGTGATTTGCAAATTGCGAATCTCACTTAAACAAAATGTACTAATGTAACTTCTCCACCATTCTCTGGTTAGTATCAACTGACGCCAAAAACTAACAACCTCAGTACAACATATGGTATTTTTATAGTTCGCAGGCCAGCGTATCCGATTAACTTCACAGTTGATTTTAGAAATTCTCCTGCTTATGGATTGTCTAAATATTTACCTACAGCATTAAATTCCATTTGGAAACCACTCAAAATCTAGACTCCCGAATTCTTATGAACTTAAACACAAACTGGATTAGTTAAAATTACGTAGACAACATGAAAAGATGGTTAGTTTCCACATCATCAGTTTATACACGAAAATACCGATAAGTGCAGTCACAGATTCGGTCAGAAACAGACTCATATCGGACCTAAAACTAAAAATTACCACTAGAAGGTATCGTACTAGGAGTGCACCTATATCTGACTTCTACATCATTTCAACTCCAAGGGAAATTGTACAAACAAACTGAGCGTACTGGCAACGGATCACCAATATCCCCGACAGTCACAGGTACATTTGTGGATACATTTGAAAACTTAGTGGCTGAAACAATTAGACCCAACCCCAAAATATGGCGGAGGTATGCAGACAACATATTCACAGTGGTAAACTAAGTGTAGTATTGCTGAGGGATTTCTCAGTCGAGAACTGAGAGCTGGCCAACAATAATGAAAACAACAAGAAATTAGAGAACACAAACAAAACTAACACTCTTACCCAGAAACATCAGATGGTGCCATTAACAGGTGCTTTCGTAAGCCCCTTTGTATTGCGACGTTTCGACACGTCCCAGTAAAAACTGGTGAGCTAACCTTTAGGGCATTAAATAATTCCTCCACTGAATTAAATGTCCCAAAAGATGGTTGGGCTCCACATGACATACATAGATCTGGATCACATTCCCTAATAGCCAAAAAGCAAGGGCATAGCTTCGTATTACATTGACCGCGACATCGGCATCCAGGAAACCTGAAGTGAAAAGCCAAACACAATATTTCTATCTAACACACGAATTCACCATAATGAGTTTGAAAAATCACCGAGAAACACGTCGTGCAGGATAAGACTCATCCTTCATTTATCTCGCACATATCTTGTCAGCTGCAGTACAATATACATAATGAAATTTAAAACATTATTTGTCTGTTCAAAAAGAAACTATAGCGAGTATTTCTCCACTTGCTAACTCGTCTTCTAACACTAATCCATCAAATCATCTCTCATTGACTCTAAGTGTTCACTTCTTTCCTCTGTCATTTAGCTTCAGTGTGAAGCTGACGAGGTAGGTACCGACGAAACAAGCAATGCATCGCTTTTAACCCACACCATGTATTCGTGATATTGCTTTAAGCAATGTTAAAAAGTGGGTTCACACGTACACAACCTCGCCTAGTTTACTAGCTCTCTACTTACACAACCGCTCCTAAGCTCGGGAACAGAGAGAAGGTCGGTTCTCAGGCTAGTGACACTATCTCGAGAAATCAGTTCACTTGCTAAAGAAACTTCAAACAACAACAACAACAAAAACCTTATAAGACCTGTTCTTCGCTGGGGCTGGAGAGACGGGATGACGCCGTTTGTAAAAGCCTTCGAGAAGACAGTCAGCCGAAGTGTCTCCTTTCCATGAGAGGAAAAAAATAAGCACAGAGTGGGAATTAAACGCACGATGTTCCAGGCCGAAAAGGCAGCTCAGGATGCAAAACAGATGAAAAGATATAGCACAGAAGTGCTAGGAATCTGTCAGAGCAGGTGGGATGCAGGTCCACTCTCCAAATGGCTACTGACTTGAGTGTCAGTTATCTGCTCCGGTCGCCCATACGACAAACACTAAAACACTGACAGAGTGGCTATCATGATGTCACCAACAGCAGCCAATGCTCTTCTGCAGTGGGAACCAATCACCTCCGGGATAATGACAGCAAGATTCAACTCAAAAGGAAGCAAACTCACAATTATTCAGTCCTATGCGCTTACAAACAATACTGACCCAGTGAAGAAGAATGAAGACTTCGATAGGCAATTGAAAACAGTATTGGATAACAGCCCAAACGATGACGACAAAATCCTAATCGGCCATATGAAAGCAAACAATACTGGGAGCAAACAACACAGGATGAGAATACATCACGGCCGGAGAGGGTCTCGGTGAAATGAATGACAACGGAGGACTCGTCTTAAACTTCCGTGTGTTCAACAACTTCGTGATTGGAGGTCGCGTGTACAACCACAAGGACATACACAAAGCTAACGACATGGACTTCACCTAACCTAACGGACACACCATAAGTCAGACAGACCCCGTCTCAATTACAACAGAGTGGACACGCAGCCTGCTGCACACGAAGTCGGAAACGGGGAGGGGATGTGGGCTCAGACTACTATATAATGCGGGAAGCTCCAAGGTCAAGTTGAAAACCATGGAGAGAACCAGAGAAAACCACAATTTAAGTTCAACAATCAGAAACTCAAGGGCAAAACTACATTTGACACCTCCACTGCAGCAATCACAACAGAGTTGGGGACAACACGTAGCAACACCACCACCACCACCATCACTGGGGAAACCTGTGTGGAAGATTATTGGAACTCTCTGACAGTCGTGTTTAAGGACACATGTACAGTCATTTCGGGAAAAACAACAGGCAGGACAACGAATGGCTCACTACAGTCACCTGGAAGCTAATGGAGGAGAGGAGGATGGTGAAACAGAAGATGACATAATGCAAAGATGGACAAAGATGCAGAGGCTGAGTTCAGTCTAGATCGCACCGACAAAAGAAGTGAACAAGATTGTTGAAGAGCACACAAGACAATTCTAGGACACACTCAGAACGGAAACAGAACAAGCCTCTGGTAAAGCACATCTCAGAACATTATTTCAGATAACCAGGTCTCCATCCGGGAGGAAGTCAACACAGATGAAGTCAGGGAAAGATGGTCAGGCGAAGCCTATTGCCAAAGAGGAGGAAGAAAAAGAAACAATCAGCCGATCACTCCATAGGACTCCTTGACTGACCACCACCACCTACAACTTGTCGAGAAATATCACCAAAAGCGGGAACAGAATTCTAAGTGAACACCAATCCACCAACGACATCAGAAGTCGTCAATGCGACCAACACAGTGAAAACCAGTTGGGAAGGCAGTGGGAACAGGCAGACTTCAACCGGAACCACAGAAAACACACCCACAGATAGCAGCGGATATGCTCACATCACTAGTTTACAAAGTTCGGAAACAAAGAAAGGCATCTACTGACTGGAAGAAAGGCTACCTCGTCAAACTACCTAAGAGGGGCGACCTAGGCCTCTGCAAGAACTGGCACCGAATCATGCTCTTGTCCACACCAAGAAGAATATTGAGTCGTGTCATCCTGGAGAGAATAAGACCAGCTATGGATAAAGAACTACGACCTCCAGGACAAGTTGGATTCAGGAAAAGCAAATCATGTGCGACTCAAACAGCAACTCTAAGCACCATCATCAAACAGAGCATAGAATAATAGCTTACAATTGACAACAACAACAACAACAGCAACCCAGTTGAAAAAACCACTCACCTATTCGCACAATCAGGTGGACATTGACAAAACTTTTCACAAAATGTTCCAGCCTTCTTACATGAACACAAATCATTACACCGTTGTCCAGGATGATCACACGGATGATATTGATGCGCGAGATAACCACTTGGTAGGGTGGTATTACCATCATTATTACTAGTGGTAGTGTTCCTCGAACCGTTTTGAACAGAACCATTCGTTTGCGAGTCTTCATCATCATCTGTATACCGGCAAAGTAAAAACAACAAAACAAAAGATAACATGCAGCATTTCTATTTTTCCACTTTCATTCCATTTTGCTTCCAAGTGAAATATAGAAAGTGGTGTTATTGTTCTAGCCTCACGTCTAACAATTTCTCCTCCTTTACGAGCTTACTATCTTCACCAGTAGTAGTAGTAGTAAACAAATAGACGAGTCTTTCAAGTCCCTCGATGACCAGGAGCAAAACACAGGCCATGTGAGTATGACTGGCAAGCATTCTACTACTCAACCACTGACACACAGATGCAGTAGCAAACAAATTCCAACGACACAAGAGAAACTCATGCTATATCCAGGCAAGTAAATAAACTGTATAACAATAATAATAGCTTTATTCCAAACAGTACTATTTGTACAAATACATAAATTTCAGCATGTAGTACAGTATTACATCTAACCTTCTCATTACAGGAGTAATAATCAAAACAGGGTATTCACATCAATAACACTGTTCAATAAGAAAATGAATATAAAATTAAGTGAAAATACTAACAACCACTTAACAATGAAAAAGATAGGGCCGTTTACTTAGAGTTCCGCAATAAGTTGATCATCTCCTACCTTAAACCTTTCTCATCACATAACATGCGTACTAAATAAGGTATTGAAGAGTTTTTGTACTTAGTCGTCCGAGTACACAATCTCCTATAGTTGCTTCTAGTTCTACCCAATGAGATGAAAGCACACAGCTTTGTATAGAGAGGATGCTCAGAGTTCACTGACAAGATCAAATATTTGCTAATTTCTTGCAGGGGTCCATGTAGCTATCCACAATAGTATTAACGAGCTGGTTTAGCGACACCCCACCCGTCCTACTGACGGCTTCTAGTGCCCTTCACAGTATTACAAAAAAGTATTTCTTAAGTAGCCTAAGAAAGATTTAATGAGGACAGTAAAGAAGGCTGGGCAGACCACAAGAATTAACAGATTTAGAAAGTAGGGACGGAATGATACCAGATCATCCGAACTTCGTCCTCACGTAGAAGAAAGTCAAACGAAATTTCTTTCTGGAAACTAACATCATGTGGGAAGACCAGGAAAGGTGATCAGAGGAAATACACAGTCCAAGGTACCCAACATTCGATTCAACTTCAACTTCTGTGGCATCTATGATAGTGGAACCATGCGAACTAAACAGTTCATGTAAGTCGCCTTTGTGTTCGAAAGTTTTTCAGACGAATTTCGTCTGAATGCATAGTTTAGCCATATTACTTCAAATGCAAATCGTCCCAGATACATGCAATACACCAATACGGAGCCCACTGTAAAGATTCGATGGGATGGGGGTTCGAGATACCATGCAATGTAATGAATCAAGTAGAATGTTTCCGTTTTCTACACTCAGAGAAATGTTCTGTGACACATTGATTTTACAATTTATTTATTTGCAAAAATTTATGTTGGTATAGTGTTCGCTTACATCTGTTGTCCCAAGTTTTACTATAGAGACCTTTATTATTTTATAACATGATGTCTCACCAAAACAAAATAGTTCAGTGGTGCACCACAAGAATGTGGTTCAATGGCTTAACACTCATCTTTCATCTAATGGGGTCCCAACTGCGAATCCAGGTTCACCTACTTCAAAAGCTTGTGGAACTGGGTACCATCATCACCTCTCCCCCGCCCGCCTACACACACACACACACACACACACACACACCACTAGCAACACCAAATGACTTTCTCGTGAACAGAGTTGAACAACCAACTAACCGATTTTAAGGCGATCCACACAGACCCTCAAATCCTATTCACTCACTCATATAGCAATCGAGGTCGGTCCACGAACAAAAAAGGAGAGAAGAGTTCAACCACCTACCTTCACGAGGAGTTGGTAATTCCAATGCCATGCTCTTTTTAACACGCTTTTTTGATCGTTTACGAAGATTTGTTGTTAAAACATTAGAACTACTCGATTCATTCGCCACAAACACCTCATCACCAAATCCTCCATCATCATGAACACTTCCACTACATGATCCTGATCCGGTGCAGTCATTATCATTTAACGACGCTATACTACCCGATCGTCGACCCCATACTTCACCAGTACCTGGTATACGTAATGAACTCAACTGACCAGCATCTGGGAGTAGAAGTGTCGATAGATTCTGTGTACTTGTATACGCCAACACCTAAATCATCATCGTAATAATAACAATAATGACAGCAGCAGTAATAACGGTAATAATTTAACATGTGTGTCAAAAAGAAGCAACACAAGGATAAAATTACGACTTTGCAGTCAATTTATATGAGACTTTCATTCACAGGTGTATGTATTTTCTGCAAACAGTCTGCTGGTCAACCAGTTGAAAAGCTAAGATTTAAACGAAGAGAGCCATGAAATTTAAAAGTTTTATCCTTTGGCTAGATACCTGTTACATTGTTATTGTGATTATTATTATTATTATTACTATTGTTATTCGTTAGTTGCGTTCCCAGTGAAACATAGGGAGACGTCTTTCAGCGTAACATTTCCTTTGGACTATGCTCTCAGCTATCAATTCGAGTTGGTACAACTGCTCACAATTTTCATTTCCACCTGGTATGATCTCCAACCCCCACCCCCATATCACTGACGACTTGGAATAACGCCCAACTCGCCTTTCCCAATTATTCAAATGTCACTCGAGGGTCTACTAATTGTTGTGACAAAATCAATGGAAATGACGACAAACTGAGAGAGGAAATATTTATATATGTGTAAAACCGGGGCACTCTGGTAGTAAGTAATTCCATATTAGTTTGTTTATTAGATGTATCACACAGTGAAACAGTATTATTTACTGGATGACGTTTCGAACAAAACTTATTGTTCATAATCATATCGATTGTAATCATACGACTTTGAAACTTGAGTTTCATAGTTTTCTTTGTCCTCTCCCATATGTCGTCGTAAGGGAAGTAGAATTTTCCAGATATCTGGGACAGGTGTTGAATCATTCCTATTACATGTATTTGTAGTTGATTCGATAAACACAGCTTCTGTTATCAATCTCTTTCTCTCTATACCCTGTGACATTAGATTTTAAAACTGTCATCTTATTGTATGGTTGTGTGTGATTGCATGTAATGCTATGGCTGAACTATGCTCTAGATTTCTTATCTTATCCGGGTCAACTGATCTAGATATTGCTAGGTTCTTATGCTCGGCTAATCCAACTGCACCTGTTCTACTACTTTGACCTAGGTATTTGACCTGACAATCATTCCAGCAGGGTACTAGATAAACTAAATTGTTTTGTTTTAAAGGCTTCACAGGATCCTTTAACCGACAAAACATGTTTCTAACTGAGTTTGTGGGTTTGAATGCCACTTTTATTCCTGCTTTGTTAAGAATTCTGAGTAAGGTTTCCGAGGTTCCTTCCTTGTATGGAATTACTACTGATGATTTAGATTCCTTATCTTCGGTGTTGTCATTATCTTGTGCATGTTTGACATGCATGTCATCACTATTTTTATCACTATTACTGCTATCATCATTTATTTTATTTTTACATTTCCCTACATACTTTCTGACTAATTTATCCGGGTAATTATTTAGTTTCAAAGCTTCTCTTATATGTCTATCACTTCCTGTCTTCGATTTCCTTGGTACTACTTAGTTTTTGTGCTCTTATTACTTAGACATTTCACCAATCCTAGTTTTACTGACATAGGATGGGATGATCGGAAGTCCAAATTCCTGTTTGAATGTGTGGGTTTTCTGTAAACACTAGTGTTTAACTTCCTATTTTCTTTCCTTTTTTACGTTGCAATCTAACATTGGGAGTTTCCCTTCCTGATTTTCCAATTCATAAGTGAATTGAATTGCCTCTACCTTCGAGTTGATGTGTTCGAAAAAAGCTATCTATCTATATCTTGGTTCTAAGTACAGTGAATGTGTCATCTACATACCTCCACCATACTTTTGGGGTGGGGGTAAACGTTTCAATCGCTATGCTCTCTCACCTATCCATGAATATATCTGCTACAACCGGGGATATTGGTGACCCCATGGCAACTACCTCAGTTTGTTTGTACATTTTCCCTTGGAATTCAAATACTGTGGAAGTCAGGCATAACTGTACTCTCAGCATTATGTCCTCAAGTGGCACTTTTGTCCTAAGTTCGAGTTCTTGGTCAGAAATGAGTTCGTTTCTGACCGCCTCTACAGCCATGTTTATTGATATACATGTATATAAACTGACAATGTCAAAACCGAGCATTTTCTCTTCATTATCTAATTTTAAATTATCTAATCTGTGTTTTAGTTCATAAGAATTAGTTAGTCTAGATTTCGAGTAGAGTTTTAGAGTATTTACTACCATGGCTAAATATCTAGGTAATTCATAAGTAGGTGAATTTCTAAAATCGACTATAGGCCAAACAGGATATCCTGACTTATGAACTTTAACAACACCATACATCCTACTGGGGTTATTAGTTTTGGGCATTAAATTAAAACACTTAGACTCACCTAGAAACGACTTCATTCGGCGCATATGGTCCGCTGTGGATTTCTTAACTTTATTCATAACTGTGTCTATTGATTTATTAATTTCCTCATATGGTCCTGTTTCTATGTGAGTATTTACCTTGTTCAAATAGTCTGATTGGTTTAATACTACTGCCGCATTTCCTTTGTCTGACTTTGTGATAACTATATCCTTGTTATTCTTAAGGTCTTTCAGGGCTTCTATCTCTGATTTTGTCAGGTTAGGCTTTCCACATTTTTTTCGTTTTAATGTAAGTGCACATTGTGCCCGCACTTCATCAGCCGTTGTTTTGTCTATCCCACTTAGTGCTGTTTCCAATTTACGGATAATATCCTCAGGTTTCAGCTTGTCTACTGATACATTGAAATTTAGTCCCTTTTCTAATACACTTATTTCCGTAGAAGTTAATACATGTGTTGCGAGATTGATAACCCACTTTGATTTATCGATCGCCGTTGACTTTGGATTATTGACTTCATCATTCTGAGATGAAGATTTCTCCTCTAATAATTTGTTGAACATTTTGATTTGACTATTTTTTGACTTTTTGAAAGTTACTGATTTTGCACTGCTGGAGGATTGTGTTATAAGATCATAATCTACATTGGTAACTATTCCTTTTAGCTTTTGTTTTAATTGCTCAACTTCACATCTGATATGTTGCAACTTTTTAACGATTCTGTGGATCTCTTCTTTCAGGCATGATTTTTGTAGGCTTTCTATTCGGCTTCTAAATCTGTCCGTTGGAATTGGAGATCGCGGACGTAGATATTTAGGAATGATTTCTCATTCCAAGTAGTTCTTCGTTATCTGCTCTACACTGATATGAAATGAAAAAAATCGTCAATCCTTCTGCAGACTATTTCCATTCGAAAATAAGCTATTTCAATAAATTTGTCAATTCAACGGAACAGGTATTACCAGCCTATTCAAAATCACAGTAGCCAAAGTACCTATGATTCAGTGGGTAGATACAGACCACTGACAACCACAATTATGACGTCAGCACACTTCAGAAGATAAAAGCAAGCGTTCAAAAGTGATCACACACTTAACAGAAAACACTAAAGCGTGAAAAACTTACATCAGAACACTTTTTCGTCCCAAGTAATTTCGACATTTTACAACACCAATTGTACAAATTAAAAGATGGATGCCCGTAGGGGATAAACGATGGAGCTAATACTTCATATAGACATTTTTCTTCAGGACTCCATTCCACATTGCTAGTTCCTTGTATTACTTCACCTTTATTATTATTATTATTATTCAATGAGTCTTGTGCAGCGGTATGGTTCACCGACTTGCGGACACACCATGAACCACAATATGGGGCGTTTGTTTCTAAAAACAAAAGAAAGAAAAAGGGAAACGTGAATCAAGTCCCAGGAGGGATGTTCACCACAACAATCAATAATTAATTAGCAGTGTTACTTAGATTATGGCTTACTGTAGGAATAGGCACCAGTTTCAATGTGTCAGCGCTAATGACACTAACTCTCGGTTGGTGGAGTGCAGCCTCGAACCCGTGACCCACTGGCTAATAGTCGATAGCCTAAACCAATCAGCCACACAGATCCTTTGACAAATATTTTTATAAAAAACATTCGATATACTCACATTCCCCTCAAAAATCACATCCAATTTGTAACTGGGTAACTCTGATACTCACTTTTCCATAAGATTTATTGCAAAACTGTTCAAATCATAGGGAAAAACAAGCTAAATAGCACAGAAGGAAATCTATGACAAGAAGCATGTGGGAGATTATCAAAATACGACCATCCATAGGTGAGATACGTATACTGACAATACACCAAGAACAGGGAATTCAAAACACTACTAGTGCCACCTAAGCAAATGTGAACAGGGAACCTCTGAAATCTTACGAAAGAATATCAACAATTCGGGAATAGAACTTGCTAAATCAGGATGTAACACACTACAAGTGAGGATAAACTATACCAGCCAACAAAATGAAGTTCAGTAAGCAACAATCATCTTACACTAGTCATCAACACAGTGTAATGTTTGCTTCAGGAGTTTCTTGCAGATCCGACTTATCCACTTCTAATGTCTGGGGTTAAGGTTAACGTTTACGCTAGGCTGGGCTTAGTTTCACACAGAAATCACGACCAACAGCTGGTCAAGATCGCGTATCACAATGACCCTAGGAGCAATAAATAGACCAGCTGGAACTAGTTTCCCTGCAGGCCCTACTACATACAAGAAACCTCGTTTGGATAGCATGTATACCAAAGGCAGTTACCATCACTTAGTGTAAGTCGTCTAAACTATGCTGGTGGTCTGTGGGTGAAGCTGTACTGCTGGAGAATACGGGTATGTAACAGGAGTAGGCTGTCTACTCCAGATGACCAGGAAGCCAGGTATGCTGTCTCTCCGATCTTCAATGGAGGGGTGTGGCTTAGAAAAGGTTGCCCTGAAAATTCTACATCCCGACTTACCTGGCCTCGATCCTCGGCCACCCTTAAAACCTTTTTAAAGACACAACTTCAAACAAGCCATGTGCGTGTATGTGTATGTATGTATGTATGTATGTATGTATGTATATATATATATATATATATGTGTGTGTGTGTAACTGAATCAAGCAGTCGACCCAGGCGTGCTGCAGTCAAGCAACACTAATGTTTTATCTGTCTCAGCTACCCCAAGATACGAAATCCAGAAAACAGCTCAGCCAGAGCACTGCACATAGTTACACACCACCACAGCATAGAGTGGCAGAAGATGACAGTCAGATAGATATCGATAACTGAAGCTATATTTATCCAGTCATACATGCAATAAGAATGAATCATCACATCTGAATGAATCAACACTAGTCGTCCATCCGGGCATCTAGAAAATTCTACCATTACCCCTACGAATAATGCGAAGGAAGAGCGAGAACTATAAAACCCGAGAAAATCTAGAGCTACATTTGGTGTTATGATTATGAACAACAGTAAGTTACGACCAGTACATCACTCCGGTAAGCAGTATTCTCCCACAGTGTGTAGGTGTCTATGTACCTGAAAAAGCCCTACTAAGCAAGCTAAACTAAGGAATCGATCTCACAAGTAACAGTAAATCTACTGAACAGTAAATAACCTAAATATCCCAAGGATGACAATTGTAGGACGCAATTTAAGTAAATATGTATTCTCGGCTATTTCTCATCAGGCCTTACAATTACATACCTGTCTCTGTCTGTTTTCGACATAGAACTTTGCACAAATGTGCGGAAGTTCAAGTCGCCACATTCCGTGTAGCACGCGAAGCAAGAGAAGAAAGTACAAGAAAAGCATAATAGAGACAGTAAACAGAGGTGTGAGACAAAGGAGTAATAAAGAAGTACAAAACAGTTTCATTGAAGATCATAAGTCACAGGGAGTGGATGCATCTGCGCCACTGAGAACGATTTTGAGCCATGTCACCAATTGTTTCCAACCATAGATTTTTACCGTCCCGAGGACCCCAGCCTGGAAGTCTACACCTTCCTACGTGGCTAAGACCAACTGTTGTGGATTTCATTGACTGATGCCAAGTTTTTGTTTGACCGCCGCTAGCTTTTTTCCAGCCTGACCCTATATCCGCTAACAATTACATAATAAAACATCAGTCATACACATTTGAACATAATGTGGTCAATAGAATTAAAATTTAAGCATGTGAATTGGGGGTTAACAATCGAGGTGATCACAACAATAAAAATAATAATATCAACAATATTAACAAGGATAAATTGATTCAAGTCCTTATATAATCTGGGTAGTCAATTGTCGTGAATGTGCGTACTTGTAGGGGTACAGGGTGAAATAACAGTTGTCTCATAGCGATTAAACAACATATCAATAATAATAGTAATAATAAATTGGGAAATTAAGACTAAGATTTGCAACCATAGCACAACATAGTTAGACAACAAAGTTAGTTAGCAGTACAAATTAAAATTATATTTACAGATATCTCGCGACCACTCTAGGTTGGGGATGAAAACCACAGGAAGGAAAGGGATTGAACACACTTATTCTGAAAACATAGATTAGGATGGAAACTCATTAGCCAATTGACTCAGCTGTGCTTAGCAATCGAAGGCGTACGAACCTAGGGAGTTCAGGTGACACCTTCTAAAGAATTCTAAAGGCTGAATTCTTTTTATCGATCTTATTCTCCGTATGCACTAGATGTGTCAATATGAAACTCCTGACTAACTTAACAACTCCTTTTCCTAACCACGTCTGACAATACTCAAGGTGGCGACAGTAGGCTCTCCGAGTCGTTCTACCTATGTATCTCTCTCCACAAGAACAGTTACACCTAGAAACGCACATTGAAGTGGTCATACTCGGTAACTTGTGCTTCACCTGCCATCGAGTAGGGAACTTCAAACAGTGTTGAGATAAACAATTGGTCAATGCCAAAAATTCAGTAGCTTTGAACAGTAAAGTCAAATATAAACATTTCTTCTGCACCGTTTGCAGATATATTTCTCTCTATCTGTCCTCATCATCGATACTCTTATTCTATTAATCACATCAGTTTCAGATGTCCATCTATGATGAACACTTTATTATCTTATTGTAAAGCCTGATGAGAAACTACCGAAAATACGTATTTGTTTAAATTGTCAGTGGTAATATGCATTTACAGCTCGGCTAGGCACAAGGCGAGCAACAATTCAAGTGACATTTTAAAATTGAATTAACTAACCGGCATCTTTCGTGGTATCGATCGGCCAACGATGACTCCACATCGAAGGAGTGGACTTATACGGATGCAAAGAACAGTCATACTTAAAACACCGACGACAAAATAATGTTCTGTATGAATGTAAAGCATCAGCTCGTGATAGGACTTTGCGTCGACCACTGGTAACAGCCTTGTGCACCTCAAAGGGATCATCTAAATTTGGAAATGATGTTGGTGTTTCTTCAATTAACTACAACAAAAACCCACACGTACACAAATTATTAGCAAAATTTATGGACAACAGATATCAATAATAATATTTTTAAAAAAACAACGAAACCATGTCACTCCCTGTACTCTAACACCACTCAAGGAAATACGGAATATTGGAAGGAAGATAAATCAAACAATGATGCGGAATAATATGTGTCCACTTTATTTTGTGCCTGTTGACTTCCGACTATTCTGACGATGGCTTTGTTCTGGGTAAAAAGACTAGTTTCCCTACCGGGGGTCTTCAGCAGGAGTACAACTCTATTTCATCCTGTTCTCTGCAGTTTCTATTCAACTGGCTCTACAATCACCCATAGGCTTTCGTTTCCTCCGCCTCACATGATCTTCTCCATGTCACTCTCGCACCCACAACCAACTCGTCGCTTCCCCATTTGGATTCCCCTCGAGGGTTTTTCTGGCACGTAATGCCCCTCAACTATCTCCTCAGTGTTTATCCAACCCATCTCCACTTCCTTCTACATATGTTTTGCTCTCGGTTGGCGTGCCGCTAAAGGTCCTTGTTGTGTGTTTCTCCTACCTGGCCATCTGGGCTTGTTTGTGTACACGCTGCTTCCAATCAACGAGTCACTGTGTGCTCCAAGGTCACCAGAGGGTCCCCTCCGTTCTCATTCACTCCACCTAGATCCTTAGTTACCTCGCTGTGTTGTCTTCTGACAGTTTGGCTTGCATGTATACACATATAAACATATTTTATCACCCATTACAATTTTGACGTCACCACTCGGGGTCTTGTCATTACTACTGAATAAAGTTATTTAGTGCATGATGACTAGCAGTGGGGTCCGGGAGGCTTGTCTAGCCCTGTTTGGAGCTCATCGGCCGAATGTACCTACCAGCAGTCGCCTTCAATGACGTGTTACCACTAAGAGCCTCAGATGTGACAGCTTGGATCTGGTTAGGTAACAAACACTACTACTGGATTGTATGAATTGCTTTCCAGCTACTCATATCAATTAATCAGTGGCTTGTACCGTCACAACGCGTTCATTTCGATTTCGCTGTGTTCTCTGACCTGGTTGATTTATCTGCGAAGCCTCCGATCTCCATTTTTCTAAATTGTATTTTGTTCCTTTGCATTCCGTGTCGAGCAAAGGGCTTCGAGCTTTGAGCTTATGAGTTTCAGTTGCAGTCGCACTACTCCTTTTTCACAGGGTCAGGTTGCTGACCTCACGCCCTCCTCACCGGGCTTACTACTGGCGTATTGAAATTTCTCAAGGAGTGCGTCTACCGCGCATCAAAGCCCAAACCACGTGCATCATTGGCGAGCATTCCACCACCGAAACACTGACGCACTCCCTTCTTCATGGAGAATTGATATAAATTCACTCCACATAAAATCTTGTGCTGAAGATTTGGTCTAGAAGGATAACGAAAACCTCGCAATAGAAAACCAATCAGTTTCGAGAACACAACCAAATCAAAACAAAAAGAATCATCCACCTCCACCACTACAGAGTTCAAAATGATTATCCGTAACAAATCTCCCATGTACCACGCGTATCGTCTGCGTGAAAGTCAACGGTACTGTCGACCAGTTACCCAGGTTGATGTACACAACGTGGGACTTGAGCTAGAAACCCACTGACTTACAGTCCGTCCAGTGCTTGCACCAATCAGCAATCACTCCTGCAGCTTGTCGGTTACACAGCTTCGACAATCTCCCTAGTGGACACCCTAATGTCAGACTGGATGACATTTTCAGCGCCAACTCGGAATAGAATTTTGCATTCAATATGTCTCCTCACAAAAAATATAGTCATGCAATTTTCACAGATATTCACAAACACACACACATACACACACACAACAACATGTGCAAAGATGGTCATCGGTTGTCGTTTAATCAAACATACCTGAGAATTATTTGCACGTCCCTTCATTTCTACATACCTCTGTTGAAGTTTATTTACATTATCCGTAGAACCGAATGTTCCAGCTATCGCCTATGGAGAAACAAAAACAAAAGTGACTCAACATTATGGAAATACAACAGCATTGAGACTGCAACGACTTTCGTACTACCTTTTAACCTTAAGGCCTTGTTAAACAATTAGTGAGGATAAAAGTAGTCACAATAGATATTACAGCTGTATAGTATAAAACTCCGTTAAACACTTTTGAAACAAACAGTCACATCTTATAGATATGACTACATATTCCCCTCTAAGCACAACAAGTACAAAACCACATAAGACTGACTATCTAACCACTAGAGGTAATTCATCAAATCGCAACTGACCGCCTACCCCTCTTCCACCCATTCAATTAAGCCAAAACAAACAAAGCCAAAAACAAAATTCGTTTTGGTGATAACTTATATGCTCATCCATGAAACACTATCTAGACTCAAAACAACTGTAATTTTAGTGATGTGTTTATCCGATGGACGGAAGTGGGTGCATATATGTCATCCCATACTGATGATAATAATATAACACATATCAAGCAAGGAAGATGGGAACTTTCAGGATGATTCATGTCCAATGTCAAACACAAACTCAGGCAAAGACATTCGAGTCAATAGGGACAGTAACTGAATACTGAGAACAGCCTTGCATATTCTAAAATACACACATATAGACACGCACAGGCATAACAGAATGAACAGAGGGATGTAGGAAAGTTGGTGGGAAGTCACTGAAACCGACAACAATAAGTTTATTGTTTTCACGAGATGGTTGAGTAACTCTGATTACAACCTGAAGATATCAGTTATTTTAACCACACACACAGACACACATATAGAGGATGGAAGAGAGACCAGATCCCAACAACCACTTGCACTTACCCCATGCAGTTATCAATGGAGCTACACTTATCGTGCGTGGGGAGTCGTGATATACTACATAGCTGCCCAAATCACGAGGGGAAGATTGGCAGAACTAGAACCAGTGACGCAGAGGTTGGTGGTCAAGAGCCCAGACCAATGATCCACAGCTTCTATTTATTCCATGTTGTCGACTGGTGGTGAAATGTACAACGTGAGTGTCTTCCCAACTCACGAGTGGTCACATCCAGTTCATCACAGAGGATGTTGGTGATTCAATGACACAATTGCTTCCCTACTAGATACAAATATGTCAGTTGTTTGTGGAAAAACTGAGCAGTTTACGATGGAAAAGAACTAACGTTCAGAAAGGGAAGATGAAGCAATAGCTTTCGGTAACAAACCGAAGTCGTAGTCAAACCAGCACCAATATTCAAAGTACACTGAAATGGCAAGTCACCTCACCAAATTTGATGATCACTTGACTGACAGAATTCAGTCACCAGCAACAAAAATAACTTCCTACACGCATGACAATGTATCCATTGCAGATCTACACGTCAATCGTGAATGGCTCAGTGGTCACGTTCGTCACTCCAGCACTTGTTGACACAAGTCTGAATCTCCGAACGGATAGTAGTCTCTTCAGCATTGACGAGTGCCAAAACGCATGGAGCCTAGATGTCTAGGTCCACCGCCTAACACCAAATGGGTCAAAATTATTAGGAAAATCTTTTGAAAGCAATCACAAAGGATATCAACAGACAACTCACAATAAACACTTCATAAGGGACTCCACAATCTTTGAAACGCTTTGCTTCGGGTGGATTGTGACTCAAGTCTGCTGGAGCCAATTCACCAATTTGGAACACTTCTTTCACTGTTATCATATTCCCTTCACTTTTATTCTTCTTTTCACCACCAACAGTCACCTAGAAAAAAGCAATCACAGAACATGGTACTATTAATGATCACTGAATGCACATACTATACAACAGACGCAATAACATCTAACATATGTAGATTACTTTTGTTGCTTGTGACGGTAAATCAGAGGTGGAAAAGAATTGATGAAATCCAACCCATGTCATCCTGATCTTAACTCCGTAATAGAACATGAGGGAAATGATACCATTACATTCTTAGGTGTTTCTTTGCTGAAAAAGACTGAGAGCATAATGGAAAGACCCATATTCAGAAGGTCTGCACGCACGGGACACGATATACACGTTAACAGCCTTCTTCCCATACAGCATGAAAAGAACCTAGTCAAAACATCGTTCAATACAGCAAGCAATATCTCTTCTCACAGTACAATCCAGTATGAAAAAATAACCCTAAAGGATATTTTACCTGTAAAACAACCCACACAGTCAGGCTCACATTTAGGGGAGGTGATATACAAGTAGCAGTTGAGCGAAGACTTGGTGGGGGTACTAGAGCAACTTATAATGCTACAAAGCTTGTATTCCTTAACACCGCCAAACCAGTTCTTCAATAATCTGGGAAAGACCAATTGCTAATTTTCGACACTTCTAACTATACATATCAAATGGAGTGTGTTTATGGAAACAAATGCTTAGGTTGTACGGAAGGATGCATCACAGACTATGGACACGGCATTGACTCTACCGAATCATGCATTGTTGTCGGAAGGTGAACAAAGGGAAGGATGCTTGCACTTGCAGAGGCTTGTACAATTAGAGGGTATAAACCCGGTCCTTGTCCGCAGAAGGAAATAGTGATCAATTTGAACCTACACAAACAATACTTTTTGCCCAACAACTGGCATTATTATTAATATTTTATTCCATCTCTTATTACTATTCTCGACTCATCTTCAACTATCCTTCGTCAGTGCCATTGTCATAACTATTCCCATCACTATTATCATTATTATTATTGTTTGCGATTCCTGACAATTTACTGGCAACTAAATATATGTCATAGCGATGCAACTCAATCATAATCCATTGTAATTTAAACCATCCAATCCCCTCATCTACCTGAACTTGACCAGTAAAACACTAACACCTGTCATCTTGCAACAAAGCCTGAAAACTGTGTAGTCGAATGAAATGTGAAATATATGCATAAATGTGCAAAATTAAAAATGACATACTCAGCAGCACAACTTCCTGTAGGAATGGGTCTGTGTAGCCAGCTTGTCTCAACTCAGATGAATAAACAGTCAAGTGCACAATAACTGACACTGTAGAACAATCCCGCTTACCTGATTATCGCTATCACTAGCATGACCAACACTACCATTCTTAATTTCAATTTGTGCAGATCGACGAGTTAAACGACCTCCTTTCGGAATCAATACATCCTCTTGCCTTGCAAATTCACCTTCCTTCTTTTTATTTGGCTTCAATCCTTTCATTACTAGGCTTTTAGCATTAGATTCACACAGAGACCGACTTGACCCAGCACAGACAACATTATTGTCATTATTCTCTTGTGTTTCGCCGTCGCCATCACTTGCATGTTCAATAGCTTTCACTACCACAGGTGATTCTCCATCGATGGATAAACCACAATACGAAATAATTTCTGACCAAACAGTATTAGTTAAGTCAACCAGCTGAACAAGCAGAGATTCATCAAATTCAAACGGGAAGCTCCCATGCAAACGACCACCATAATTGGTCAACAGCTCTTCAAAAAACTCTATATCCTCTCGAGCCTGCACCTCTCCAATATACGGTAAGTTAGTCAACTCGGTTTCATCTTCTACAGAGAAATTTTGTTGTACTTTTGACCACGTAGTAAAGCTCGGCAGTGGATCTACATGAGGGATCATTACAACACCTGTATGATGAATTTTATCGTTGATTTCTATGCCATATGAACTACGAAGATTAAAGGAATGTGGAATTCGGATCGGATCGGCCAGTGAGACTGGATTACCAATATTGTTAGCAACCACCGGAGAAGAATCTAAGTCACAGGTTATATCGGTATGACCATCATCAGAGGTAGGGATCGAGCGCACAGTAAGCTTAGACAGCTGTTCGGATAACAGGCGGGAATTATTTGTTAAACACTCATGTACATGTTCCCATTTGTCTACTCGATTACTAAAACATAGATAAGTGTACACCTGTCGAATCACTTTACATAGGCGGTGACGACGTTCATTCAAAATAGTATTATACGGCGTAGTGGAATTTCTGGTGGTACCGGTAGTAGTAGTAGTAGCAGCAGTAGTAGTAGTAGTCGCAGTACTAGTTTGTGGTCGTGGCCTCAATGAAGGAAGAAAATAGTCCACACTACCTAAATTAGATCTTCTGCTTCTTCTAGTCTTAACAGTATTTTGATTTGATGAACCACAGGATGATTGACGTCTCATCTTTCGAAAGAAACGAAAACAGTTAAAGAATAAACCCATGTAAGTAAAAGCTGATCCACAAAGGAAAAACATGTGACCACACAAACTCGTAATCACACACACAGAGTCCAGTATAAAGTAAGCTAATGAATAGTGGTAAACGAGACCTTACTGCCAAACATGAGGAACAAACGTGGTGTCGGGCAGACCACCTCCAAGGACTGTACAATCAACAGCCCGTAACTCACCTAGACACACCATATACGTGCATTTCAATTTCTCCAATTATGGAAAATACAAACGAGCAATTCATAAACACTTTCCAGGCTAAACATGTCAGCTACCATGGACGTAACGACAGTTGCACGCATATGTCAAAATCATGCCTACCAAGCAATTCTTGGGCGTAGCTGGCCGACGCACATATAGACGTGGACGTCACCTATTAGCAATCCCAAGTGATATTACGTTCTCATTCTGTAGGTACAGTTTTAACTACACAACACCACCTAGAGAATATCAAACCTATTAGACATAACCAGCTGGTGCGAAGTCGTGAGGCTAACAGCTACTGGAACGGTAAATAGCACGATGGTTTGTGGCGGACGCAGTTCTAGATCCAGTAAATTTGCACACTATCACAGATGAAACTGGAGCAATAAGTTACTCAATTCTTCCTATTCCCTTGCATTCCCAGTGGAACATAGGTCTTCAAGCTGGCGCCTTGAAGTTTTCTTAACAGCGTTTTTTTTCTTTACGAGGTGAGGCTGCTAGCTTTACGCCTAACCTCTCCTCTTTGTAACCGGCTAAGGGAGGTATAGGTGTGCGCCAGCCGGGACTCGAACCCCGGACCACGTTCATAGTCGGCCAGCGCCCCACTGCCTAACCACCAATGCACAACTCAAACAATGCACCGCAGTTATTAAAAATAATTAATTGTTTGAGTGTTTGGATAACTGTGGAGAATTTACGGCCCATTGACCACAAATATATGTTGTCTTAATGAGTCATGGTACTAAGCATACTTCAATGATCCTTAACTGTAGCTTTGCCACACTTATTGTTACGCCTGTTTGGAAAGGCGATGTGGACCTTATGTAGGCTGCAAAAAATGTGACGAATAACTATGATGATGACAGCAGGGAAACCACAGAGAATGAAAATTCAATATGCGACCTAAAACACGCACACTTTACTTACCGCGATACGCAGCGTACTTTCAAAAACTTGAACAGACTAGCTAAACAAAGAATTGTTTCAAACAAGGGGTGTACTGAATGTTCCGATAGGAAGGAGTGTTCTTAATTAAATTTAAGCAAAAGGTGCACAAAGTCATCTTTTTATCTCCTACATGGCTCCCTCTCCCAGAAGTCCTGAGAGAATAAAATCAAGCTATTACTGGTGATAATAATTGTATAACAATCCAATAACCAATATCGATTTTGCGACCTAGTATAAACCCATTTTATTGATTTTTCCTCGCTTCCTCATTTTGGAGTAAAGGTCCGTGGTCTCCGGTAAACTTCTGCGTAGTTCGTCCCGCCACTCGACTGTTGTAGCTTTGGATGACTCCAAAAGTAGTAGTGCTGGATTAATTATATATTAATGATATATATTCTCGTTTTTGTACATGAGGGACACCAGTTTACAGGCATCATCAATTCGAAAAATTACACATACGATTAGTAAGCATATTTAGTAAAGATAATATAATAAGGTACATATTTTTTTCCTAGCTATGTAGGATACACCAATTGTATAGGCATGCAGAAATATTGTTTAAATTACATTATTTACGGCTGCCGTCATTTTCTCTTCAGTTTGTGGGAAAAATCTGATAACTAGTAATTCAATAGACCATCAGTAGATATAGGGATATTGAATCGCATTAACAAAAACCCAAGTATTCGTCGGATGGATTTCAGATGCTTAGGAAAATAAAAAGCGTGAAGTCAATTTTCTAATATAAAAATAAAACGAATCTCATAGTAATATACTGTCTTTTAAAGCACATGAAAGCTGACAGACATCATCAATATGGTAATAATGTATACATGGATTAGGCACAAGATATATATATATATATATATATATATAAGATTCGGATTTGTACACACCCAAGTTATATCGAGGAATTACTTCAAGCTTTAGTTTTTCCCAAGTATTTTTAATCCATCCAAAACATACTCGGGTTTTTTTGTTAATGCGAAGACAATATTCCTATATTTCATGACGTGCTCCATTGAATGACTGGTTATCATATTGTTCCCACAGACCTAAGATAAAAACGCCAGCAACCATGTAACTTAACCATAAACCAAATTTATGAAATTTATATAATGCTTATCCATGCCTGTATATTTGGTGTGTCCTAGACAAGTAGGAAAAAATGTGTATTTTATTAAAACATTATTATTAATTATGATTGCTAATCGTATATGTAATTTATCATATTGATGATGCCTGTAAACTGGCGTCTCTCATGTACAAAATGAGAATATACTATTATAAAGGAAGGATAATGGAATAATGGTAGTAAACACACTTTGCATAAGTTAAAACAATTTATATGATATGATCCTAGGCACCAGTATTGTTTGAATTTGTCGAAAATGTGCGTAACTACTGAGTGTTGTGTTACATTTGGTCGATATGGTGGGCTAAAATTACATAACTCTGAATTCTCCAAATGAATGTCTAAGGCTTCAGCAGTTCAAAGGAGACGAAAGCGTATTGCCTCCAGCAGCTTGTTCTTATCTTTATAGATCACTTGGAGGAAGGCGAGATGTTCGATTATTGCACTCTTTGTGGAGCCAAAAAGGAGGGAGGCTGGCGCATGCTGATCAGCAGATATGGTAGTGTCAACCGCTCCGATCTGTAGGACAGCAACATGCATTTTTTGATAGCACGAGAACCAAATAATAGTCCAGATCCTCAGAAAAAAATAATAAGTGTTGCACATATATTAATTATCAATAAAAAATCATCTACAAGCCTGCTCAGCTTCGTTTCAAGATGCTATCCCAAAAAGCCTACAGAAATAAGCGAGACATCTTACAAGTCAACTTGTTCTACGGCTTCTAACTTTCCAGACCCTTGAATTCACCTATCATTTAAATATCGCTTATCTACCTCACAAAGATCTTTTTATTCACTCGCCAATGTACTCTATTTTATCTTGATAACCTAAGCTCTTATTGAAGCTAAAACTTCCTCTTTGTTCATATTCACTGCTTCCCTAATCTCTACTTAATTTCATGAAAAACACAACAACTCAAATGTTTGAACAAACTAGGTTTCCATCGAAAAAGTAATGCATTCCAAGATGAGACCAGGATGCTTACAAGAAAACACTGAAACTGTACTGTCAATCACGTCTCAGAAACCGTTAATGCCCAGCTATTGCTACGCCGCTGTCCCTCGAAAGACTTTCAGGAACGCTCAGTGCTAACGGACGCAAGAAACAAAACACCGATTGGCGACTCGAGAATTCTTTATTCTAACACCAATATATGAGAAGCATGATAACTAAGGTTTCCGACGGTGACAGCTACGTCTCATAAACCGTTAATGCCCAGCTCTCGCTACGCTCGGGCCCACGCTGTTCCTTGCAGTTTTTCAGAAACGCTTAGTAATAACGGACGCAAAAACCAAAACACCGATCTGCCGCTTGTTATTTCTTTATTGTTACACCAACATATAAATGGAATAAGCGAACTAAGGTCTGAAAACAAATATTACAATGATAAATCATAAGATTACTTCTGACGATGTTTCACTCTTCTTTCTGAACAGCGACCGATGAGACGATGACTGTCGTATTGATGCCTCCACGAAAATTGGGGAAGTTGATTTTAAGCAAACAACCAAGAATTGATCGTTCAATCTTCAACTCCATTGACACTCCCCGGCAAAATACGGATCCAACCCTTTTTTCCTTCACGACCAATGCACGTCGACTTGGATGCCATTGCGAGAACCTGGGTCACACGGACAGAGCTGAAATGGAAAACAAACAGAAAAGCCAACACACCACAAGCATACTCACAGCACAATCTCGCACATCAATGACGACCTGCGCCTCCAGACAGAGACCTCCTCTTGACATCTTGCAACATAATCGCCACTTGCTAGAATGACTCTTGCAGAATGCAACGTGACCATAGCACCACCTCACGATACTCTACGCACATCCTCTTATCTACTCATTACCAATTACCACTGAAATCGCTTGTCACTCATTCTGCCTCAGTTCTAGTAGCGGTGACGCATGCGAGCCTCAGTCGTTTACACTCTTTCTCCCCGGCGTGTCGGACCGCAGCTAACAATTATCTCCGTGTGCATTTCATTCTCAGCAATAGCCTAGCCTCCCCGGCGTATACGATCCATCTGCTGTCTCTAACATCAATCAATTCATTCATGGATGTAGAAGACTCGAAACAACTTCAGAAGTAATCACGACGAAAATTTTAACAAAATTACGCAATAACAACAACATACGAATACAACAAGTAAACACAATGAATCCAAAAAACACCAATTGATATGACACACCACACGTATACACAAACAGTACAAATAACCTCGCCGATCATGTCTTGGTGGAATTTCGTTTGAAGAATTGCAGGACTTACAGCAGTACGCCTACAACCCTTCTCAGGTTGACGATTGTAATTTGTGGAATGTCCGGACACAAACAAGATTAACCAACAATTACATCAATTGGAACTCACACAATTATTTAACACAAACATATGTACAATCAACACATCAAATGTTGTGTATTCTGACACGACAAACTACCCTTGAAGATATGTAGGACTTACAGCAGTACGCCTACATTCCTTCTCAGGTTGATGATCCAGGTGGAAGTCGTCCGGACACAAACAGAATTACCAACAGCTAGATGACAGATGATATCAATTCAGTATATGCAATATGAACATATGTACAAAATCACACACCGAGCACATTGGACTGCTCATTGATGCGCTACCCTTTGAAGAACTGTAGGACTTACACCAGTACGCCTACAACCCTTCTCAGGTTGACGCCCTAGGTTGGAAAATCGTCGCAGAGTTCATTTGCTGACCTCCTTCTATCAGCTATATCCTCAAATCTGAACGGCAACACGCCCATGTCATTGTATCGTAGAATATAGATGACCAACAAACACACGACATATCTCATCAACCAAGCGTAGAAACAGAGTAATTTACACCAAAGATAATAACATTCAAATAGTAACTTGAAACTAGAAATGCCTTTATTCGTGCAAGTCAATTTAACAATAACTCTCTCGTTTACACTTGGCTTATCCACACTAAACTGACCATTGATATTCGTCCTTTCAAACGAACTGATACTACCATAGTCATTGCACAAGATACTTGAGTTGATGGGTGTCTGTTTCATTGTGGATGACAGCACCAACGATGACTGAGTGACACAAGTTGATGAACTTAGTGGTGGATCAGAAGCTGTTCTTGTTCGGCTCTCAGATAGTTGTTCAACTGCAAGATTACCACCACTGCTGTCTTTCACTACTAGTTCGGGTTTAGCACTATCATCTGATGATAGGTGGGCTACATGCTGATCACTCACACCGACAGTCTCAAAAGTATGCATGCCTTCTGCAAGTGCATCTGCGTTCAATTCTACTTCACGTTGTAATTGTACAGAACCTTTAATTAACTTAGCAGCAGTAGTAGGCATATCCCTCATCTCATAATGATCAACCAAAGACAAATGTGAAGTATCATGATCATTATCACGAATATTCACTTTACCGTCAATTTCATCATTTTCAAACTCTTTAACAACAGAAGTAGACAATTTTGATTTCTTATCACTAATCCTTAAAGGTTTTATAATTTCACTCTGACTAGTTATACCTTGTAAACTTGTGGAGTCAGAACTGCACTCTGAAGCAATAACTCTATTCTGTGACACTTTATTCAACAACGGCTTACCAGTTGCAACTACAGACTTCTTCACCGCACCGTTATCGTCACACAATTCGGAGTCAGACCTGGAGTTTACATTTAGCTTATCACTGAACTTGCTCACCGGTTCACAGTTCACTTCTGTATGCACCTCTTGCACACGTGTAAAACAAAACCGTGTTTGTCTTGCATCTTGTAACCTATCAGTTGAGGATGTACTACGAAACCTGTTACACTCACTAGGTCTATATGCATTACTAGACATCATGGAGCTTTCTCGATAACCACCTCTCTGAGGCCTACTCGTCATCAATGATTGCATTTTGATCTCAGACTGCTCTATTCTAGGGGTGAGATCTAACAGACTGGAAAACTTGCTCATAGATTGATTGACACTAGTATTTACCAGTTTCAGGATATCATCAAACTTTGGCTCGATGCCCTCATCCTCCATACGGGAGCTTATCTTCACCCACTTCCTTTGCAGTCGAGTAGGTAGACGTCTTGCTATTACTTCTAGTATAAAACTCGAGTTGAGGTCACTCATTCGATTCATCGAAATCATTGCATTCTTGTAAATTAGCAAATTATCTAAAAACTCAGTGAGTGCCTGGGAGTCATCCTGTAATTGACCACCATTACCCTTAACAGCCTCGAATAATTTCCCTGCAATCATCGAAGGTCTTCCAAACCTTTGACGTAATATGCTCATAGCCTCGTAGTAGCCCTCTTTCGGCTTCATAAACTTACAACACTGTATAGCTCTTGAAGCATCTCCAGTGCAATATCTCATCAAATACATTAACTTCAGGATTTCATCATGAGCTGACATTAGTTAGAGAACCATTGGAAAACCTGGGAGTACTGGACAGCTGTTTCGTCCTAGTTTGGGACTCTTCAGCAGTACGCACCCACCGGGATTCGAACCCAGGACCTTCCGGTTACAAGGCGAGCTCGTATACCATTAAGCCACTGGGACCCGATCCAATGGTCCTTGAATTCTAACTTCTGCCAATTCACGACATAGCGCGACCGCTAGCCAATGTCTTCGGCGAGTATTTGTCCTCACACCCGACCAGCTGCACCCTACTGGTCACGACTTCAATTCATCATTTAATAGAAAACCACTCAACATGATCTCAAACTCCTTTACAAATTGTAAATAATCGGCCGGGTTTCCATCAAAACACCGTGGTTCAAATTTAGGGAGTTTGATGTTCCTATTATCCCTGAACGGCGAAACAGTAACATCAACCATGTCATGCTTAACATCAGACACATCGTTACAAGTAACAGACAAGTCACCATGACTTACTTTCCTGTTTGCATCCAAGACACTCTGTCCCTTCTTTGACCCAGGCATTGTTGAACTTGACCCAATTGCAAAAAGTTCCAGATATTGCTTGTCCAAAGAGGACTTGACCGGCACCAGGAAAAATGAACGTTGACTATCCAAACTGTCACCAACTGTTTCAATCCGCCAGATCTGTTTCCATCGTCAGAAACTGTCAGCCACGTCTCATAAACCGTTAATGCCCAGCTCTCGCTACGCTCGGGTCCACGCTGTTCCTTGCAGTTTTTCAGAAACGCTTAGTAATAACGGACGCAAAAACCAAAACACCGATCTGCCGCTTGTTATTTCTTTATTGTTACACCAACATATAAATGGAATAAGCGAACTAAGGTCTGAAAACAAATATTACAATGATAAATCATAAGATTACTTCTGACGATGTTTCACTCTTCTTTCTGAACAGCGACCGATGAGACGATGACTGTCGTATTGATGCCTCCACGAAAATTGGGGAAGTTGATTTTAAGCAAACAACCAAGAATTGATCGTTCAATCTTCAACTCCATTGACAGACGGTTTTGTACGTGCTTTCTGAACAGCGATCGATGAGACGGTGACCGTCGTATTGATGCCTCCGCGAAAATATTGGGAAGTTGGGTTTGAGCAAACAACCATGAATTCATCGTTCAATCTTCAACTCCATTGACACTCCCCGGCAAAATACGGATCCATCCCGTTTTTATTATTATTATTAGAATGAAGATTCCTCGAGTCACATTCTGTAATCTGCTTTTTGCGTCCGTTAATTCTAAGCGTTTCTGAAAATCTTCGAGGGACAGCGTGAATCCCAGCGTAGCAAGAGCTGGGCATTAACGGTTTGTCAGACCTGATTGACACATTGAGATCCGTTGTGATTTTGGTCAGATTAAGTCTTTTTTGGATGTAACTGAAAACAAGCTTGCGGATTTAGACCCAATAGCCTGTCTGTTATAAAACATCCTAAAATGTTTTCGGACAACCTAAATAAAGCTGAAAATCTGATTGACTGCTTGGCTACGGAGGTGATGAAGCGTATAACCTCTTCTCACCAAGCTATAGTTTACAACGTCCCAGATTCTCTGCCCCTGAAAACTGTAAGACACAAAATCCTGATTTGTTGCGGCATGGCTAGTGTTCCATGTGAATGCAAACGACTTCGTAAAAAGTCTAACCAGGCTAATTTTCCCATCATTTTTAAATTCAGTAATTCCCTTGATGCTAGTAAGTTTACTAAATGTCAGGATCACTTAAGACTGAATAGCAGTTATAAGTCTATAACCGTAGCTCAGGATAAAACACCGTGTCAGCGCAGAATAATGCGTAGTAATAACCTGGTCACCTCCTCTAGCTTAAGTTTACCAAAAAGGATCGTGCACAGCAACAGACACCTAGTGCTGAAACTAGCATTCAGCAAACTACACAACAACCACGCTTGCCAATGGAACTAGGAACTGATTTAGATACCAGTACCCCTGTAAATAAAGCCTCATCGAAAGATGTTAAAATGACTAGAACTTCTGCAAGTTGTTCTAAGAAATTTTCCCCCAAACGTAGTAACCTCACCACGATGAACAAATTTCGCAGGGTTGAGACTAATGATGGGGAAGAATACTTTGTATTCAATAAGCCTGCTGAGAGTAAGAATGCCAACAAACCATCACTTGTTACGAAAAACTCCTCTCGAAACACAACATATCTGGAGGTGTTCCGCATGCTCCACCTTATAGAAAGTCAGGCTCCAAGACTCCTAAAGTCTTGCAGCCAAAGCACCTTCCTTCACAATTCCCTTTAAGTTATAAAAACAACCCGAAGGTGTGTACCGGTATGACGAATAGCAGTTGGATGGGTAGACCTTTGATGCTATGCCTTTTAACCGTCAACCTAGGCCCAACCTGTACTACCCTTATATCCAGGAACACATGGTAAATTTTCCAGGTGTCCCGAATCACTGGTACGACCCATGGCACCTAGGACCACCTCATTGCACACCAACCCGATGTACAGACACCCAGTCCGACCTCCCTTTCATTCATAAATTCTTGCGGTGCTGACGCACAAATAGATTTAGGTTATGGTGACATTTTAAGCCAGTTTGTAGTATCCCGTGACTTATTCACGATATTGCTAATTAATGCACGTTCCTTAATCAATAAGATATCTGAACTAAGGACATTATTATTAGTCGCCAAGCCTACTGTAGCTCTGATTACTGAGTCATGGTGCTCATCCTCTGTACTTGATGTGCATATAGGTATCGATGATTACACTGTACACCGTGCAAACAGAGATTGCAAGCGTGGTGGAGGATGTCTCATATATATACATAGCTCATTTGTAGTCAGTAAGGTGGAAGATGAAACAATGAATAATGTACCTGACTCACTCTGGGTTGTCTTACATGGAGATAAGTACAAACTTCTCATAGGCTGTGTTTATCGAGCACCAAGCTCAACAAAAGAAACTGATGCGTTATTAGCTAAATCGTTTGCACATGCATCCTCGTTTAGTGCTAATTACAAAATAATTGCAGGGGACTTCAATCTTCCAGAAGTCAATTGGCTAACTAGTTCCGGCCCCCAACGCTTCGACGAATTACTTGCCACTATCGACTGTTATGGATGGCAACAACACGTCCAGACACCTACTCGTGGTGACAACATGTTGGACCTTGTTTTTTGTCATGACACAATCCCAGTATCCACGTATGTTGGTAATCGATTTTCCAGTAGTGACCATAGAATGGTACTCTGCTCTCTGCCTTTCTCACCACTAAATACAGGAAACAAACAAGACTCAGGAAGCACAATATGTCGTAGTTACAAATATACAGACTGGGGATTAGTCCAAGAACTTATTCGACTCTGTCAATGGGATGACTATTTTACCACTGACTCCCTGGAGGCCTTAGTAACCCTGTTTTACAGGAATGTTACCCTTTGTCTAGATACAGTTGCTCCAAAGAAAATAGTGAAATTAAGTAGACACCGAACTGAATATATTCCAAGGGCACACCGTAATAAGTTAAGGAAGCTGAAGAAACAGTACTATTCCACTAAGGACATATCACTATTGCTCTCAATCCACGAGTCTCTTGAATCTATCAAGCGCCTACGCTCTCAAAAGGACCTCGACGAAGAGTTAACGGCACTTGAAAGTACCTCCAAAGTTTATAACTTAACGGCACTTCTTAAAAAACGAATGCAGTCGGCGAGGGAAATCCCATACTTACTTCACGACAAAGTAATCTACAATGAACCTGCCACTATCTGTGAACTTTCAGTGATTGGTTTGCAAACTTTAGTTTAGAAACACATATGCCTGGTGAAACCGCTCCCCTTACTATCTCTTCCCTTGAAAGCATTGTGTTCACTAATCAACTAATAGTACAAGCAATTAAAAGCCTTAAACCTTCCACTAGTACGGGACCGGATGGCCTCGCTTCGATAATTTTCAAAAACAGTGGGTGTGATATACCCTTGTTACTTCTTAAATTCTTCTCAATATCTATGGACACTGGCACTTACCCTAGTGAGTGGAAAACTAGCTTCATAATTCCACATTACAAATCTGGTGATAGGGCAAACGTCCGCAATTACAGACCCATAAATATAACCCCAGTTATCTCACGAATCATGGAGAAAGTTGTAAAAGATCAATTGTCAGACTACCTAATTAGGGAAGATCTTGTTACAAGGTCTCAACACGGATTTCTCAAAAATAGATCCTGCGTTACTTGCCACTTCGACTTTTTCAACTGCATCACTAGTAGTCGCGAAGCACGTAAGCTAGTCGTTGTTCTCTACTTCGATATATCTAGGGCATTTGACATGGTATCTCACAGTATTCTCTTTGAGAAGCTGTACTCTTGTGGAATTCGCAACCCATTACTGAACTGGTTAAAATCATTTCTAAGCAACAGGGTACAAATAACCAAAGTTGGATCTGTATTGTCTCATCCTAGGCAGATCTCAAGTGGGGTCGTGCAAGGTAGTGTCCTAGGTCCACTTTTATTCACAGTCTACATTAACAGCATTTGCAAGTGCTTCACCTCAGGTAAACCATTCCTATATGCTGACGACCTCAAAGTCGTCTACTCCTGCTACACTCATGAATTAAGCGATATGGTTACTAAAATACATCTTGAACTAAGTAGTCTCGCAACGTGGTGTGCTGAATCCTGTCTAAATTTTAACATTGACAAATGCGGCTGGATTTGTATCGGCAACAGTAACCTTGATCTAAACCTTGAAATAAATGGGCGAAAACTAGCTAAGCTCAATTCAGTCGTAGATCTCGGTATTAGATACTCTAGTAACCTAACGTTCGCTGAACAGACTGATTATGCCAGACGTAAAACGCGAAGGCTGATAGGATGCATAACACGCAATTTCTTTTGTTGTGAAACTAGGGTTTTATTATACAAAGTATGTGTCCGACCTAT